GAGACATCGTTAGGTCATCCCCCAGACGTATGCCTTCACAGGGACCCACCTATTCATTGGGAAATGGATCTCAATTATTATACAAGCATTAAATCATGCATTTAATACTAATTACTTGATATTCCCATTGGGACGGCTGTCCCTCCGATGTCTCGCCCCATATATTAACCCCTGCGTACAGACAGGCCCTGAGGTGAGCCTCCATCACATCCCTCCCAAACTGTTTACCCGCACCGACGGCCCCGTAATAGAAAGCATGGGGAGCCGTCAGGGGCTCCGGGTAACCATTTGTAGGCCAACCCAACGGCCAGTTAGTGTCGGCGTCCATGAGATAGAACTCCTGCTCCACACCAAACCATGGATGTTGATCCCGGGCCGCATCCATGGCCTCATTACAGCCGTACCGGTGATTACAGGCCAGTGGTGTCATATCGGCCGACAATAAGTCACATAAGACTAGCTTATTGTCACCGCCCCGGAAGGGGTCGGCGTATAGCTGTACGGGTCGTATAAACACCTCGACCAGACTGTCCCCCGTAACCAATGCGAAGTCAAATAACGGCACTTCCGATGCGTGTTTAGGCACAAAGTCTATGACTTTAGTTTTGCCACTGAAATGAGCCAGGTTGTCGTTGCCAGGGTGTATGTAGACGTATGTTACCATGATTTTATCCCGGGGCTGTTCCAGTGCCATATACCGGGCCATAAACGCGCTGTTAGATGCTAGCGATGTGGTGCTCATAATAATTGTTAATTATAGTTATTTCATATAATTAGTTAAAACTATTTTGTTGTTATGAATACTTGTAGTGAGTATTGATTGATTGATTTTTATTTTAATGCAATTCAGTGTTTCGTTTATCATTATATAGGTGTTATGATTAAGTAATGTTAGGTCATAATTTAATCTGTGGCACAAACACTACAATTGAATTATCCACTTACAATTGAGCAAGTCATCATTGTAGCATTTCAATACATTAATAAACTGACGTGTGCTTATTTCTGCCATTCAACGTTCTTAATGGGATTGATCATATTGACATTTATTATCATTGATAATTTATCAATATTATTTTATGTGCTACTTAAGTAGCAGGCAGATTCATATTTTATATAAAACGATGTGCACTAGTGAGGGGTTAAAACTGTTTGATTTGTATTCAACTCTAAAGTGAGAGAATTTATTGTGAATTCTGAGCTCAAGAATCGGAGTATTTATACCATGTTTTTCGGTATTTCCTAATTATTAATGTAATTTGTGTTCATTTTAAAAATAGATATCATTATCTTGAAACTCATTGAGTAATCGACAGTAATGCACCATGGTAGGGTGCGAAAATAACTTATGTTTTTAAATTATTGACTTTTCATATACCGTAGATAACAAACGTACAAGAATTGTACTGATTGTACCTGTACACTTCTGTAAGATAATTACCAAAATATAATTTCTAATTGTGATAAAAACATCTACTATTTAATTGTAGCAAATTATGAGTCATTAATTCCCCTGCTCAGATACTCCCATGAATATAATCAATAACTTCGCATGGGTGACCTGAATATTATTTTATGGTTACAATTAATATATGGATAAATTGTAATTTTTAAAACCCGGATAGTTATTTTCGATATAGGCCACCCCAGAATCGGTTGAAGGCTTATTTGTTAAGGATTTAAAATGATAATTGTTTCATAATCTTGAAAATTATTAAAAATAAATTAGGACACCTCGATGATTTTAAACATTAAATGCATTACGAATAAAATTATATAAGTATAAATATAATTCAATCCCGGGGTTTAATATTATAATTACAAAAACAAAATTTAGTTTAAATATTTTAAACTGACAGGTAATTTATTAAAAGATTAATATTACATGTACCAGTATAATTTACGTATATGGTATAATTTAATACAAAATTTTTATATTTATTTATTTAAAATATCATATTTCTAAACATTTAATTACATAAATAAATGTGTCTAAGGCTTAGACTCTAAGCTATTAAATTCATTTATTATTTGGTACTGTATCTGAACAGAAAATGGTTTATTTGGCGATTTGTGTCCATTGCAAAAGGCAGTGAATGGGGAAAGGATGTGAATGGGGTATATCCGACATACCATCAAATTAGATAAATTGTTGGCTGAGTTATTGTCGGGTGTGAAACCTGATGTTATTATAGTGGACAGTTATGTCACTCTAGCGTCAGTAGTCATGTCTGGCATATCTTTTATTACTGTGAGATGTGGTAACCCTTTGGAGATATTGGATGACGACAGGGCACCACCACATCATTCGGGTACAGAAGCCATGAAATAATGTTTTACTTATTTTATTATATATTTTTTGTTTACCTGATAGGACTGTCCGCTTATGGAGATAGAAATGAATGGAAACTATTTAGGGATGAGTTTGAAAAGGAACGGGACATCGAGGCCTGGAATGTATTGAATGAGTACATAGTTTCCAAAGGTTGTCAACTGTTGAAGAAGTATAACTTCTATGATATATCAAACTGTCTGTGCGTTTATGGCTATCCATTAGAGTTAGACTATTTAGACATAAGACCTCTGCCTAAAAATGTCATCCGTTTTGATAACCTTATGAGAAATGAAAAGCATATGAAGTTTGAAATTCCCGATCAGTTGAAGAATAAATCAGGAAAATTGATATATTTTTCGTTGGGATCTATGGGTGCAGTGGATGTCCAACTCATGAAAAGATTATTAAATATATTATCAAAATCTAAGCACCGGTTCATTGTCTCCAAAGGACCACTTCATGATACGTATGCCTTACCCGACAATATGTGGGGTCAGAAAAGTGTGCCTCAAATCCAAGTCTTACCGTTAGTTGATTTGGTTATAACCCATGGAGGGAACAACACTATCACCGAAACCTTTTATTTCGGGAAACCTGTAATTGTTTTGCCTATTTTTACTGATCAGTACGACAACGGACAGAGAGTATATGATAAAGGGTTTGGACTGACTCTGAACGCATACCAGTGCTCTGAGAGTTATTGGATGCCATCGAAAGTCTGCTGAATAACAAGGAATTGAATGAAAGACTGAGAGATATATCCAAAAGAATACAAACGGATAATAGTTTAGCAAAACTACCGGAAATTGTTGAAGACTTCCTACAAAACAGAGACAAATATATTCAATAATTCAGTTCAATATTCTGAATTAAAATATTAACTATTCAGTTTTATGAAACTATTACCATTATAACATATTACTTTATTAAACTAAGTTACTTAATAATTCATCAAATTTTAATATTCAAATAAGTAATTTGATCTGGTTATTTTATGGTATGGTAAATGTATCACATTTTTCACCAGCACACTCCAAGTCTTTGCAACAATCGCTAGTAGCTGAGCATGGTCTCATTAATGTTTGACAACCTTGCACACCTTATATAAGTTTTAATAAATAACATGATATTTCAATAAAAGCATTCTCAAATTGAATATAATTTACCCTCACCATAACATTGAAGGTGCACCATGGTGATTACCAGGATTATAATGATAATGAATTGAATCTTCATTATATTAATTTATAATAAATAACTAATAATTATAGATTTTAAATTCAAATATTATAATTGGGATCTAGTTGATTTGTGTTAAAAAATACTAAAATTAAAAATTATTAAAATAATAATTTAATGTAAACTAAATATAAATATATTTAATACATATAATATTATAGTAGTTGAAAATAATATTAAAACATATGACAGTACAGTATAAATTTTATACTAAAAAAAGTTAGCCAGACACAACAAACAGGAAAATGTGGTTTAATGATTGACATAATAGAAACATAACTACAATTGAAAAAACAAATTAACAAAATTATAACAACTAATATGATAATAAAATATAAAAATTTAATTATTTTCAATATGGAATTATTATTATTACAATTATTTTATTACAAATTTCCTAAATATTTGACTTTTAAATGTATTTTCTAATGTTATAGAAATCACATTAATTTAGTTTTCAAGAAATATTGAAGAAATGAAAATAAGATAATTTTATTACATCTAACAATTTTTGTACAAATTTATTCAATAGTTTTTGTTTTGTAGGGAGTAATCAATAATTTTTGGCAGTTTTGTTAAACTGTATTATTTTGGATATACAGTACTTTTGATATTCTGTTACAATAATAGATAATAAGTTGATTATATTTTTTATAATTATAAATTACAATTATAAAAGATAATAATATTAAAAATTTGTGTTTAAGAGTAGGGAGAGAGAGAGAGAGAGAGAGAGAGAGAGAGAGAGATTGAGAGAGAGAGAGAGAGAGAGAGAGAGAGAGAGAGGTGCTGTTAATACTGTATTATTAAAATATTGGTGCTGAGAAAATTTGAGCACAGATAAAACAAATATATTTTATTTATATAATTAATTCTAATTATGTGACGTTATAATTCACCTAACATTATTGCACTAATCCAAACCATTATGATGTCAATTTCATTTTAAGTACAATTTCATTATTTATATTATATAAATTATATACATTATTTTTTGTACTCACATTTAAGTGCACTGTTGAACCAAATGAGATAAATAATAAACTCACTAAACCCAGAGATAAGATAATTGAATGAAATTGTGATAAATTAACGTTAAGTCCATTTATATGTTTAGTACATTTTGCTAATCATTTGTAGGTATATAAAGGAAAATGCAAAACAGTTTACTTAATAAATAGTCAAACAGTTTAAATAGTTGTTATAAAATATAGCTGTTATAATTACCTAATATACAGAAATAATTATTAATACTATGACCAGAAAGTTGACAGTTGTATTCATACCAATCAATGCTGTGGGACACGTAAATGGGTGCCTGGGTTTAGCCGAGGTGTTGGTGCAAAGTGGGCACCGGGTTATATTTGTCGTCAATGAACAGTGGAGGGGAAAGCTTATCCAGTATGGGGTGGAGGAGGAGCTCATCAAAGAAGAGGTCACTTCTGAAAGCACTAATGATGACCCAGCTCAGTTTATGGCTAATAAAGTCATGATAAGAGGTTTATTCAATGAGTCGACGGCTTTAGACAAAGCGCTTTTGATTATATCAAGTATGAAGACCAGAGTCGAGGATCAGATCAAATCCGATGTAATTACTGAGGAGATACTGAAGTCCATTCGTCCGGACATTGTGTTTATGGACCAACACATGTCTATACCGTGTGTCGAAGCGTTAGGTATACCGTACGTATGGGTCAGAAGCGGTAATCCATTATTTCTATTAGATGACGAACGCACACCACCCGCCCTCTCAGGTATGCCTTTTGTATGGAATAGTTTGAGAAAGTTTTTGTTTTAAATTAAGATGTTTTGTGAAATTGTATATTTTATTAAGAATTTTATTTTTTAATAGGTTTGTCGGCTTCGGGCGATCAAAACGAGTGGAAAAGATTTAGAGAACTCAAAGATAAAGCGATGGATATTGAGGTCTGGAACCGATTCAATAATTATGTAGTCTCAAGAGGTTGTCAACCATTGAAATACAAAAAACTCTTCAATACAACACACTGTCTGTGCGTTTATGGCTATCCATTAGAGTTAGACTATTTAGACATAAGACCTCTGCCTAAGAATGTCATCCGTTTTGATAATCTCATGAGAAATGAAAAGCATATGAAGTTTGAAATCCCGGATCAGTTGAAGAATAAATCCGGAAAATTAATATACTT